AATATGATTATCTCTAATAGGAGGATACATGTGCTTAGCAAAAAAGAATTCTTAATTTTGCTAACAACTTGTTGGTTGATGTAGAAAATGGTCTTGTCCCATAAAAAAAAGAGCACAAGTTTGAATCTTAGGATGCGTACTTGCTAGGAGAAAAAACTTAACACTCATAACCCGATAAAAATTAGTCTCAAATCCAAAATAAATTAAAAACACTAGTTGATATCCCAAACCCACATTGTGACTTAGAAGTTTAGAGAATAAATAGACTAGACCAAAAAAAAAAATAGTCCAATTGGTAAGAACTAAGAAGTTAACCTGTAACCAATAATGATCAGTTTTTTGGGATGTATAAAATGATCAGTTTTTCGGGGGGATGTATAAAATGATTTGAAAAATTTGCATGTAGGGTGTGTTTGGGTGTCTCCCCAAATCATGGTTTAGAGAAAAAATAACGCAAACACCCATAAAAAAATCAAAACCATGATTTTGAAAAAAGCATTTTGAATCTGCTTTTGGAAAAAAATTGGAGAGTGTCATATGGATATGAGGATCTTTTTTTGGGACTAGACACATATGCCCCTCAAGCTTCAATCTTCCGGTCCTTCACTGTTTAGAGAGGTGGTATTTTTTTTTTTTTTTTTTAAAAACCAGAAAGAGGTAGTATGTTGTTACATTGTACTTTTTTTTAAAATTTCTTTTCTGTTTATAAAAAATTATTCTTCTTTTTCAAAAATATTTTTAATCTTATATTTTATAAATATTTTTACACATGTAGTAATAATTAATTAATTATATTAAAGATGAGAGGTAGTATGTTATTATAAAAACTAATTGTGAAAAAATGTTATAGAATTTCACGTTTAAAATCTTTAAAGCAAATTAATATTTTTCTATTAGAAAAAATAATCATTTTTCTATAAACATATTTAATCTTATAATTTATAAATATATATACATATTAATTATTTATTAATTATATTATCTTATATATTATTAATTATGTTGGTAAAAATTATTTTATTAACAATTTGATTCCTTCAAATCAAAATGTATTATAAAATCTATCTCTTATATAATTGTCATATTGACTTATGCCTTTTTTAGTAATTTGCACATGTAAAAAGTGCTTCTGGTAACAACTATCCAAACACTCTCACTTCTCATAATCACTTTTTCACAAAATCTATTTTTCAGAAAATTTATTCTCTAGAAGCTATTCTTTAAACCATGGTTTAGTTTCATCCAAACACCCTCGTAATCTATTCAAATAATAGAAGTCAATTCCTTATCATTTTGTATGAATATAGAATGGGAAAATTACAAATAAAGACCCTTGAATATGTAAAATTATGCTTTGGGACCTGAATTTGGAAAATAGCAAATAAGGACCTGATTCCACTTTTGCAAATATGAAATATGGGTGAAATGTCTGAAATGTCGCTCAGGCAAATGACAAGTTTATTTTGGTGAATGGCAATTTCAGTAGACCAAATCATAACTTGGCTGAGGGTATGCCAAATGACGAGTTGACTATGGAAAATGATAAGTTCACTTTAGTGAATGACAATTTTAGTAGACCAAATCACAATTTAACTGGGAGGCATTTCAGACATTTCACTAACATTTCATATTTGCAAAAGTAAGATCGGGTCCTTATTTGCTATTTTCCAAATTCAGGGTCTCAGATCACAATTTTACATATTCGGGGGGTTTTATTTGTAATTTCTCCTAACAGAATCCATGTTTATTAAATTTGGTTAATGCTTTTTCTGTCAAACAAAATTGGCTAATACTTATGCTGAAAAATGATAACATCATTTGCTAATTATTAGAAGTCACGAATAGTGCATGAATAGCGTATATTTGATGATGAGAACTGTTCAGAATAATGCCATGACTTGTTAGGATGCGTGGGGCATGGGATCTTTTGTGGATAGTGGTCCTCTTTTTTTAAGTGTTTGGTAAGAGTTAGTACAACTCACGAATTAATTATTACAATTTTCAATATTTTTGTGTGTGTATTAACTACTGAGGGTAGAGATGGAAGTAAGTGAGACTCTTATGAAGGACCCATGGCCTAATGTACTTTGCATATAGTTTAACCTATTTAGTAAATAAATCATACTCAGACGCAGTGTTGGATTTATTCTGACAGATAGGTCATGTTTATTTTCGTAAGGTCTAGCTTTCAAACCTACATGCTTGGCCTGTTAATTTTTTTATTTCAACTATTATGTATAATTATATATAATATAATATAAATCAATTTTATAAATTATTTATAAAATAAACTATATTCTTGAAAACTGGTAATACTCTATTCGTTTAAAAACGGGTCGGGTTATGACATTATGATATCTGAATATATTAAATTAATGATATTTGAATAATACTTTGATTAGAATTTTGGTATATTGAATTAAATAAGGAACATCATTGCTAAATGAAATTTCAATTGGATGGGTAAATAAATAAATAAATTTAAATTTTCATATGTTTCTTTTAAATTCCAGCATATCTAATTCAAATCTCATTTGAATGAATAAAAAAGCTATACTCCTATAAAAAATGAATATTGATTAGAATTTAAAATCTAATCAAATATTCTAATCAGTGCATCGCATGGGGTAGAAATTTCTAGTTATTAATTTAATACTCTTCCGGTCTTTAATATAAGACCTAATTAGATGGTTGATTTTAATCATAAATATAGGACTTATTTATCACATTTCCCAATTCTTTCCTAAATTACCAATATTAAATAATTAAATACCACAATAATAATTATTATTCATTAATAATACACCTGTATATTTTAAAAGTGAGTGAATACTTATTACTCAGTAATTTCACATATACATCAATTCTACTGTTTTATATTTTTAATAAAATAATTTAAAACATTTTTTTAAATATCAGTTTTTATAGAAATTTTAACTGAAGATATTTTGAGAAACATATGTCATATTTATTATTATTACCTAACTTAACTAATTTTTTTAATTTAATCAAAGTAGTTAAATCGATCCCATATTAAGAACCAGACGAGTATTAACATTGAGTTAATATCTCATTATTCACACATAAGCTCAAACTTTTTTTTTAATTCGTTAAGTGCTAACCTCTTCCTCTGTTCTCCTTGATCGCACCTCACTCCTTTTTTCTTGATTTGCACCGTTTGTTCGAAGCATGATAGTAGCCGTGAGTTTATTTTAATGACGCACAAATGAAATATTACAATCTTATTTAGAGGATTTTGCCCTACTTTCTACAAAAAGAAAAATAAGTTAAATTCAGTTTTACATGTCACTTATTTTGGTTAGTTGATTTTAAAAAAGGGTGTCATTTTAGTCTATGGATCATTGGTTTTTTCTTATTCTTATTTGCTTACGCATCTATTGTCATTGAGCTTTTAAATAAGTTTGAAGGGTTATTTATAACTTGTGAAAATAGGTTTTTACGCCTATTTAAATGCTTCGTTGTAAGTAGCTTTTTAAAAAAGTTTTAAACAATGTCAAGCTTTTTTTTGTTTTTTGACCAGGGAACAATGTTAAGCTTTTTGAAAGCTTAGGTTTGGGCTTAAAAAAATCCTATGTGCAGGCTCAAATTCATATTCCAGCCTTAGACATATATTTCAAGCTTAAACTTATTTAGCGAAAACCTAACTTAGATTATTTTCACCCAAACTAAGGGTATCTTCCAACCAATAATCAATAATTAAACCTTGAAAACGCAGAGATACAGAAGCGAATCCCTTGCAACGTGTTTAAGAGATCTAATTATTTAACAACTGTGCTCAACTTTTTTGGTCATTTTCAGTTTTCTTGTTATGAAAATCATTCTCAAATTTTATATTTCAAATTTAACTTTCTCAATTATCACTCTTTCCGCCGTATTTCTTTTCTGGCAACGGATAATATCAAATTTTATACATGCAAACCTATTGTCCCTTTCAGCCATAGATACATCCAAAAACACCTCATGTAGCTCTTATGATTTAATGCAACTTCTAATAATATAGATTAATTTTTAATTTTTAACCATAAAATTAAATCGAATGGTTCACTTACAAGGGATCATCCATTTAGGGAAAAGAAGCTGTTCATACTATAAACAGGAATCTTCTCCCATTAATCAAATGTTTGGTTCAACTATCAGGAGACTATACCAATTTAATCAAAGATGTCACGTTCAAGTTTTGAAGATGTAACTATGTTAAATATTAAAAAGAGAGCTTTCTCTCTTACGGGAAAAAAAAAACTTAAAAAAAAAAAACCATTGTCATTTTTCATAATCTAGCTCAACCTGATTTGAATAAGCTCGAACATCAATAAATTATTCTCTAGTTGTATTGGGAATGACTAAGGATATTGAGTCGTCTTGCTAAAAAAAAAAAGAAAACTATTACTTTCTGTCTTTATTATAAAAGCTTGAAAATAATCTTACATAAATTAATGAACTTAATTCAAAATGAGTTATTTCTTGTAAAATATTAAACTTAACCTTGATAAAAATCATTAGGGGCATGTTTGGGAGGGCTTCAGAAATCTCCTATAAGTTTCACAAAAATCGAGACAAAACTCTTCTTACGTACTTATCTCATATTCTGTAAATCACTATTAAGAAGCTATTTATAAGCTACTTATAAACTGTTCTAAACAGGTCCTAGTTAAGGTAGTATAGTTTATAAGTTACAAAGTCTTATAATTAGTTAGAAGTTTAGGTGAAAAAAATTAATATTCTCGACAAAACATATTGTAATTAGGACTGGAAGCAGCATAATAGACCTTATAAAGGTAATCTGAAATCATGCAGTTATCTGGTTGAACAGAGAAACAATGCAAATAAAACTTCTGTCACAAGTCACACAGCTGAAAAGATAGTGACATGAGAAAATGAGATTCTGAATGTGATCCAATTTTTATAATCACACTCTCTCCCTCTTCTCCTTCTGTCTCAGTCAGAAAGCACTACATGGCGTGATCTGATGCACCAAAGGAAATCAAAACTTAGGAACAATGTCATTTCTCCCTCAACACCAAACCTTAATATCTTTCTGAACTTTGATCTTCAGATGCCTCACGTAGATACAGAGCATCTTATGGCCTTCCTCAAATCCAATACCATTTCTCTTCATTGAAGATTACAAATCATGAACATGGTAATACAAATACAGACAAAAACATATTTTATAGTATGTTTAAAGGTTTTTGTTTTGGTTTATTCCTTCTTCCTTGCTTCCTTGAGCTGTCCTCTCTTTCTAATACGAAGGCAGGACCAGAGACGCAAAGAATCGACCAGAGACTCAGGCAATGACGCAGCCAATGCCCACAGAATGGAATGAGTCCAGTAAGGTGAGCAACGAGGCTCGTACCCAATCCACCGCATGCCGGCTTTCGCATATTCATCACTTGATGGCGCAAAAAATGAAGATCTCTTTATTGATGCCATCTTTGTTGCCACTTGTAATGGAACCTAATTCCACAGTTCATAACACAATTCACAATTATATCTACCGAAAGTTCTTTTCTAATATATAGGTTAGTTGTTCAAGGGAACATGCTCAGAGGAGTAGTTTGCTGATATGTACTTCAAGTGAAAAGTATCAATTATCAAACACACACAATAATGATCAAGTTGTATCCAGTGAACAGCATCAACCCTGTTCTCCCAAGCGAGAGGCGAATTGAGTAAGTTAGGATCAATTCATATGGGTAGAAGTCCTAGAGTTAGAGCAGTAGAACTCTAATGGAAACATGTCAAACAACTAAGACACAAGCAGAAACATATGGGAGCAAAATTGAGATGAGATTTTATCAATAGCCCTATAATCTAGTGACATTAAAGCTTGTTTGTAGGTGAGAGGTAGTAGATTCAATCCTACTTGTAATGTCAAACTTAGTGCCTGCTCTCTAAATTCGGAAAAACAGAGGAGATGGGATTTTATATCTTCACTCTTCTGTTCTTTTGAGTTAATCGAAACAAGGATCACCCGAATTTCCCCCTTCTAACTTGGTAATTTATTCACAGAAATACAGAACAACTGCTATTGAGGGGTCAAAACGAAATATTACAATACCTGACACTGGACGTCAATCCCACTTTTCTTATACTCAACATATAGACACCTCGAGAATTGATCTATGTATCTGAGGAAACAAACAGAGAACTTCATTTGAGCAGATAAAACAGCATACCAGTCATGATACTCAGCAGTTTATATATTGGGAGTCTGAATTTGAGAAGCAAACTGTATAAAAGCAATGTCTTTACTTACGCTTTTGTGGCAGCATAAACAGCATAAAGGGGATCCGAAGGAATCACAGCTGATGATCCAGAACCTATATTAACAATTGCTCCTTTCTTCCTCTTGAGCATACCAGGAAGAACAGTTAGTGTGACTTTTGTTGTTCCTTCTACATTGACTTTAATCATGTTCCGGAGCAGCTCGTCGTCCACTTCATGCAAGTATCTCGCGTAAGGATAAGAGAGCCCAACATTATTAATCAAGACTCCAACATCTAACCCTTCAATGGCTTCACGAATCTTGACCATACCCTCGGAAAGGTATCCAGTAAAATCAACCACCACCGTTTTAATCTGGGTTTTCCCGAACTTAGCTAGAATCGACTCGGAAACATCCTTTAACTTTTCAGGATTCCGACCCACTAAAACCAGATTAAGCCCTGCACCAGCCAACTGAAAAGCAAAACTCTTGCCAATGCCATCTGTGGGAGCAGTGACGAGTGCCCAAGATCCATACTTCATAAGATTTTTTGGGGGCCTGAGAAAATTGGCATACACCCATCTCAGAAAAGCTAAGAAGGTTCTCAAAAGGGAGAGTAAACCCACAGCGAAAAGCAAACTAAACCATAGAGAATGAGTTTTCAGCGTCGCCATTACACAGCATTCCATTGTCGCAGAGTGATAGAACAATTGAGAGAGTTTCGTGAGGAGTGCTTAAGCTTAGGGACAGCGAACTGATACCAGCAAGAGTCTATGACGAGTTAGGTCATGAAAATAAAGTAGATGATGAAGGGAAGCTAGCAGGTTCACGGATCTATGAACTGCTGGGCACCAGACGATTGAATTATTGAATGGCAGGTAAGAACAAATCCACTAATAATTCAATTCCACCGATGAAGCGGACATAAACGATATACTACTCGAATAAAATAGGACCAAAATTTTCAGTCTTGTCTTTTATAATTGTATATGTTATATTTTCGTTTTCTGTAGCTGTACAAGCCGTCTTTAGTCGTCTTTCTATTTTTGTCGGTTTTTTCCTTTTCTGTGCATCCATGTTTTTTTGACCAAATTGTGCACCCATGTCTGAAACCACAGTATTTTTCTATCACAAGTGAGAATTATATCAAGTCCTCAACATTACAACACAAAGATACTCAAAAAGAGAGTAGATCAAAAAGGAAAGAATAGACCAAGCCATTGCTCCAAGTACAGATTAATAACAAGAAAGAAATCAGTGATACATCAGGCACTTAAAAATCTGAAAAGAGCTTGTCTCTTATGGCTTATTCCTTCTTCCTTGAATCCTTGAGTTGCCCCCCCTTTCGAATGCGAAGGCAGAACCAGAGACGCCAAGAATCAACCAGAGACTCAGGCAAGGAGTGAGCCAATGCCCACAGAATGGAATGCGGCCAGTAAGGGGTACATCGAGGCTCATACCCGATCCAACGCATGCCGGCTTTCGCATATCCATCAGTCGATGGCACAAAAAATGAAGATCTCTTTATTGAAGCCATCTTTGTTGCCACATATAATGGCACCTGATTCCACAATTCATACAAAATTTCACAATGATATCAAAGAAATTTCTTCACATATGATCAGTTGTAAAAGTATTTACATCCATTTCCTAGTCCTTTTCTAATATGTAGGCTATTGAATGACATCACATGATGAAAAAGGCACCCACCAAATCACACAATTCATGTTTCCTAGTAAATACTAATATCATTGTTCAAATCTAACACGCATACCAGATATTTGCCTCAAAAGATAACATCACTGTGGGATACATTTAAATCTTGATCTTAAAGAAAAGGTGTCAATCACCGCACATGATTACACAAATGTCGCCATTTTGAAGAAAGAAGTTCCCCACAATAATTGAAAGACAAGATAAAATTGTACCCAGTATTTTCATAAGTGCAGATATCCATTCATTTAAAGAGAAAAGTATCAGTTCTCAAACAAAAAAACACAAACAGGGGAGAAATGCAATAATGACCAAGTTATACACAACGAAAACTATTAATCAAAGGAATAACAAATAAGCACAAATATCAAATAAGTTGGGTAAAGTAGGATCATCATCTCATATGGCTAGAGGTCTCATGTTTGTACTGTGGAACTTTGATTGTACCAATAAAAAGGGTGACTACATACTCCAACAAACAAATTAAACAAAGAGCAAAATAATCGTCATGTGATTTTATATCTTCAGAGTTCAAGTGGAGCCAGAGCTGTTCTTCAGAGCTAATCCTAACAAATCTCCCCTGAATTTCTTTCCTCTAATAGACAGTCGATTCACAAAAATACAAAACAAAGCAATATTTGGCAGATTCTGAAGGTCAAAACAAAAAACTACGTGAAGAGCCTTTAGATATTACCTGACACTGGACGTCGACCCCGCTATTCTTGTATTCAACATAGAGACATCTCGAGAATTGATCTATGTACCTGAGGATACAAACATAGAACTCCATTTTAGCAGATGAAACAACATATCCTGCAAGATGCTCAACAGTTCATATGCAACAAGCACTTAGAGGTTGAAGTGAGAAGCAAACTTTATAAGAAATTACTTACGCTTTTGTGGCGGCATACACAGCATAAAGAGGATCTGAAGGAATCACAATTGCTGCCCCAGAACCAATATTAACGATTGCTCCTTTCTTTCTCTTAAGCATACCAGGAAGAACAGTGTGTGTAACTTTGGTAGTTCCTTCCACATTCACTTTAATCAAATTCTTGAGCAGCTCTTCATCCACTTCATGGAAGTATCTCGCGTAAGGATATGAGATTCCCACATTATTAATCAAGACTCCAACGTCCAACCCTTCAATAGCTTCACGAATCTTGACCATACCCTCGGAAAGATCACCGGAAAAATCAACAACCACTGTCTTAATCTGGGTTTTCGCGTACTTGGCAAGAATCGAATCGGAAACATCCTTCAGCTTATCCGGATTCCGACCCACCAAAACCAGATTAAGCCCCGCACGAGCCAACTGAAAAGCGTAGCCCTTGCCAATGCCATCTGTGGGTCCAGTAACCACCGCCCAAGATCCGTACTTCTTAAGATTTTTGGGGGGTCTGAGAAAATTGACATAGACCCATCTGAAAAAAGCTAGGAAAATTTTCAGAAGGGTGAATAAACCCAAAACGAAAAGCACACCAAACCATAGCGGTTGGGTTTTCAGCCTTGCTATGATACAGCACTGCATAGTCACAGAGCGAAACAAAAGGGATCTAAAGTGAGGTTCTGGATGAGAGGTTAGTAATGGGTATTTAAGAAACTGGGTTTGTCAAAACAAAGCAGATTGAAGCTCGAAAGAGATATGGGAGGCGGAGCAATCAAGAACAGCAAGGCAAGGCAGGGATGTAGAAGCAGAGCGAGAAAGGTATTGAATTTATAAAGTCATGAAAAACAGTTTGAGACGAAGCAAAATGTGGGTAAAGTGGATGAGCGGAAAACCACCAGATTTAAGTAGGAACCGCAGCGCAGACGACTGATTTGTTGAATCCTGGGGCAGACGAGCATATCCGCAAAATAAATTCGAAACCGACGTGAAATTTGTGTGTATTCAAGTTTATTTTTCTTGTTTTGGCCAAAAAAACAAGTTTATATAAATATTCTCGTATATATTTATTGAAGAAAATTGGGTTTTGTTATTTTTGAGCATTTATTTTATCCCTCTTTGGCACTTTTCATAGCATAAATTGATTATTTTGTGTTGTTTTTTTTTTTGGTATCATTTTTCCCAATTTATTCAATGTTTCCATTTTTTGTCACATTTACTCAAGTTATTTTCCATCTGTCACCAAAGGAAATCTGACCATCATAGTATACCTTTGCTTATTCAAAGATAGCACTCCTCCGATTCTTAATATATGACCTAATTATTAAGTTAATTTTGATTCTAAATATAAGACATATTTCTCATATTTATCAATTTTCTTTAAATTACCCATATGAATCTCCCTCAATCATAATCAAGTAAAAGAAGAAAAAATGATATTAAGAAAGATAATTATGGTGTTTTAGGAAAAACATATCATATTTCTTATAATTAATTAACTTACCTAACTTTTTTAATTCAATCAAATTAGTTAAATATGTTTTAGATTGAGGACCGGAGTATAAATACATAGCAAAGTTGTTAACGTTTTAAAGGACATATTTGTTGTTGTCCAGAAGATAAGGATATAAATTGTTATTGTGAAATTATGAACTGTAGTCAAGAACTGATTTCTTGCAAGTAACCTTTAATTAACAACACCAAATAATTTTATTACTTGTTTATTATATTAACCCACATTAAGACAAGGCACCTCCAACTACCAATTGGAGTTATGCTGGGAAAATCATATAAAAGAATTCAAATTTAAGAAAACAATAGATTTCTTTTTAAAAAAGTTACCATCAATTTTTTTTAAAAAATTACCATCAACTTTTTTTAAAAAATACTTTTAAGAAAAATTTTTAAATTGTAAAAATATGTATAACTTCTTTGAAATTCATTTATAATTTTTCAGAAATTAATAATAATTTTGAAAATACTTTAGCCTCTGCTTTTATAAAACCTAGATCAATAAAGAGGATTTTTCCATTAGTTTTATTGTTCCTTATTTTGATAAGGATTAGGTTCTGTGGACAAAAGGGAGAAGTCAAATTTGTTGGTATTTTGAAATACTTGGGATGCAAACTATGGTACATAATCTGTGCATTCGGAATCCACAGAAAACTACAAATTGCAATTTACCCACCAAAATTTGCAGCTTCATTGGTCAACAAGGACCATAAAATGTCTCGTATTGTGACATCCTACTTTATTCCTTTCTTTTTTAAGAAAAATGAATGATTAGTTTACCTGTGAAACTTCTGGGAAAATTGCTTCTAAAATCTCCATTGAGAAGTTTATAGCCCTAAGGTCCCTGAATATGATTTAAGGACCCAAGTCTGGCAGAGGGAATAAAATTATGGACAAAAAGACAAAATTGCCCCCATTGCAAAATTTTTCTTGGAAATATAATGGCATATTCTGAAATTTGTGTATAGCATGTAGATTTATTGGCCATCAACACAAAAGAAAAATGAACCTTTTGTTTTGCCAGAAATGAAAGATAAGTTGCACATATTTTAAATAATGACAATTTATGAAAAAAGTTACACGTGTGAAAAATATTTTCACACAATGAAAGATAAGCGACATACAAAAAAGATATATTGTGCATGTTACATTTTACATATGACAGAACAAAGTTGTAAAAAGAAATTCTATGAAAGAAAATTGCACAAGGTGAAAGATATGTTTTGCACTAGATAAAAAAAAGAGATAATGGAAGAAAGTGCATATATGACATTTCACCAAAAAAAAAAGTTGCATATATGACCAAAAAATATGCTGCGCATGCTGAAAGATAAGCCGCATTAAGAAGACGACACTACAAAATGAGCCTGCAAACGGTGATGATAAATCAAGCCCTCTAGATAGAAACAAACATGGCAAAAAAAAAAAAAAAAGGGATGTTGCTAAAATGTACTGTCATTGTTCTGTGAGCCACTTGATCCTTCAACGCCGTCATTCGCTGCTCGCTCACCTGCCTTTGTCACTCTTCAAATATGTGGAGGTCAAATGATTAATTTCCTTTTCCTTAAATACTTTCTTTCCAAGCTCCAATCCTAGATGCCGGCCTTTAGCGTTCTTCTATCATCTTTTTGCCTTTTTTTTTTTTTAATATTTGAATTAAGGTCATTTTGGTCATTTTGCTTGTGCCATGAGGAATTAGGTTTTTCAAAAAAGAAAAATAAGAAGGGCAAGTACAAATGCCCCAAGTAATAATGATGGATGTCCACTTATGGAAAAGCTTTTACATCACTAAGCTATAAGGTTATTTACAAAATTAGGTCCTTAAAAAACAAAATCAGGTATCTTAGAGCAAAAAAAATTTCACTAAGGGATTTATTGTAATTTTTTCTAAGCTTTTGAGATAATGTTTAAAATTGTAGTTAAGAAAGAAATTTCAATGCGAAGTGCTGCTTGTTTTAAATTTGTCTGGTAAGTGTTACGAAAATAAGTTGTTAGATGAATAACAAATAAGGAAGAAAATTAAATAATTCAAATACAGTAAAAGATGATTTTAATTTTACACTATGTACTATTGATTGAGGACACTAATTAGTGGGAAAAGGAAAAGTTTCGCTATGTGCGATCGGTTTGTTGCTTTGTTATGTCCCTTTCTTAGCTAACCTAAAAGGACAAAGGTACAAGTATGGCGTTTTTGGGCTACCAACTCTAACTAACAAACTAAAAGGAAAAAACTATTTTTGACCTCCAACTAAAAGTAAGGAACGCGAAGAAAATAATTTAACGAAAAGGAAATTAATCATCTGAGCATCTGTTTTTCTTTTTTTGGCCAACATCTAAATATCTACTTTAATTTAACAAAAGTAATTTATGAATTATGACTAATTTCTAAAACTAACTAGAAGTGATGGAATATAAAAAGAATTGGACGTTACCCCAACAACAAAGAAATCTACTTTGAATATGGAAGCTAAAATCAATTTTACTATTTTCTTTTGCAAACAAATTTCGGAAAAAAATGTAGGGAGAATTACTACAGGTCCCATGAAAGGTTCTAAATACAATAAATTTCACAAAATTGCAAAATTAACATTATAGTCCCAAGGTCCCGAAATGTAAATACAAGTATTAATACTCAATTACTTATACATAATATTTTGAAATACAATATTAAATGCATTAATGGCCCATTGGGTGATAAAGCTTTTGGGATACAAGTAGTTAAATTTTGGTTCTCCGTGCCAATATCACTCTTTCTCAAAACAAAGTCAATAGCTAGTCACCAAAATTCCGACCAACATCAGATATTAATGACAGCTGGCAATGGAAGGATTAGTGTTTATAATAAGCATGTTCATCTAAGTTAAAACCTCTCATGTACTTATCTTATATACTATAAATTATGATTGAAAATCTGTTTTTAAAGAAAGAGAAAATGAAAGTAAAGGAATAAAACTGAGATAAATTTGTGGTGATCTGTTCATTGACAGAGCTACAGTATATAGAATATGTACATTGAGATAATCTCACGACACTGTTGTTGCATGATTACAATCTGATATATATCATATAATATCCTAACATTCTAATTTGAACCAGTCTTGGTATCATGTGCTGTTATGCATGCGGGTTTTATTCTATTGGGCCAAGAGAGGTGGATCTAATGATCTGCTAACACCCGCACTCAAGTGAGAGGGTCCCAAACATACCTTGAGCTTGTTGTGTAGATAGACAAACTGAGTGTGACCGAGAGGTTTAGTGAGTAAGTCATCTATCTATTCACGAGTAGGAACATAGTACACAGAAAGTTGACGAGTAAGAACCTGATCTCGCACAAAGTGAATATCGATCTCAATATGTTTTGTGCGGGAGTGCTAAACAGGGTTCTCAATGAGCGCTGCAGCACTTACATTATCACACCATATGATCAGAGTTCATTTAAGTGGGAATTTCAACTCTGCTAAAAGGGACTTAAGCCAAGCAATCTCAGCTGTACAGTTTGCCAATGCTCAATATTCTAACTCCGTGCTTGATCAAGATACAACGCTTTGCTTCTTGGATAACCATGAGACAAGGGATCCTCCAATGTATACATAATACCCAGTCACAGATCGTCTATCACTTGGGTAGGCAGCCCAAATTTGCATCAAGTATGACATAAGGTCAAGGTGCTTCGATCTTCTTAACCATAAACCATGCAAAACAGTACCTTTGATGTAATGTAAAATCCGCTTTACAAGCTTGCCAATGTTTGTAGTAGGACTACTAAGAAATTGGCTAAGATGGTTAATGGCATAAGAGATGTCGGGGCGTTGTCAAGTCTTGCATGGTGCAAAGTAGAGTATGTTGAATTTCTTGAGAATGTTTGTTGCATATTTTGCTTGACTATGTTCGAGTCTCTCTGTATCTCAAGACCCAAGAAGTAATGAGCATCACCCAAGTCTTTTAGACTAAAAATTGCATGAAATCTTGATGTAAACTCATGTAGGTGGGAGAGATTGTTGCCCGTAATCAAAATATTGTTGACATATATAAGAGTAATAATGATATAGTCTGACTGCCATAGAATGAATAGAGATTTATCACTCTTAGTGTTGTAGAAACCCTACTGGAGCAACACATTATGAAGTCATTCGAACCAAGCTCTTGGAGCTTGCT